ATTCCCCCATAATCAAGTTTACAATAATCTCTGTCTGAGAGCAAAACTGTTTGGTCTCTCGGCTATGGACAGAGGAGATCTTCCAGGGGCTAAATCTGACTAGCGATGGATTCGGGCTCCCACTGTCCTCTAGTATAGCCTTCTACAAATTGGGTGTTCACAAGTTAAGCTCTGATACTTTTCCCTTGGGTTTTTTTATTGTCATCTTTGAATCACACAGGCGGGTGTGCTTCTTCCTTGTGGACTTAGCTGCTGCCTCACTTTGATGGCTGCTTGTTCGAATACAAGCCTTTAAGACCCCAGACACTAACCCAGCTGACAGCTGGGCACCATTTGCTTTCTTCACCACACTTTCTTATAGAACCCATATCTTCAGTGATCTCTTCAAGAAGGCAAGTACCGAGCAGGGCTATGCTCTAAGAACCACGGTTGGTCCTTGAATAGGGGCTAGAGTTAAGTGGAAGCCCAGAGTACATCTGCTTATGAATGACATTTTTTAATGAAAATAGCATTGTCCTCGTTTCCAGAATGATGTGTCATTGGAAAAATTAATGATGTTACAAGTGCAATCACCTTACACCCCAGGGGGATGGTGGACAAGAATGTACTGTTCCTCTGGGTTTTGTTTTTCTGCCTTTAGTCTGCTTGTTTTGTTTGCTTGTCTCTGTTGTCTACGAGTTGGTTTGTTGCTATTGTTGGGTAGCTGGTCTTACGGGGTTTTGCGTTTGTCCGAGAAAGACCGCCACGGTAAACCTGAGTCATGCGTATCCCAGGGACAAGCAGATGGATTCTGGAACCCCACTGAACTCTAGCCCCAATCCAAGAACAGTTAGTTCTGATAATGTGGCCCTGCTCAATCCTCACCCTTATGAAATGATCACTGAAGATAGGGGTGCTACTACAGCAAAGTGTGATGAAGAAAGCAGATGGTGCCTGACTATCAATTAGAATAGTGTCTGGGGTCTTTAAGGCTTGTATTCAAACAAACAGCCATCTAAGTGAAGAGTCAACTAAACCCACATGGAAGAAGCACAACAGCTTGTATGATCCAAAGATGACAATAATAAAATTCAAATAAGACAAAGGGAAAAGTATCAGAGCTTAAACTGTGAACACCCAATTTGTGGAAGGCTATGGAAGACAGTGGGAGCCCCAAACCCATCTACAAATATCTAGTCAGGCTGAGCTGCTGGCAGAGCCCTCTAGCCACAGGCAAAGGTCTGGAACAGCCTTATTATCAAACATAGATGGTTGTTGTACTGATTAGGCTGGATCAAACTTGATACTTAGTCAGCTGACCGCTCTCTAGACCCAACCTGAATTTGTTCTAGGTA